CCCGGGAAATTCAAATCCCGGGCTTCATTAGCAAGTGCGGTATGCATACATTACCCCGCTAGTTCGAACTAGCGGGGTAGTGTAGACATACCCTGAATAACAAACTGAAGTCTGTATCATGTAATTTAATTCAGGAACACCAGCCTCTCTCTCACTCAAGTCTCTATGCTGGGCAATGCATATGGTGAAAGTTAAGCAGTTAGTTATGCACTTTTCTGGATCAGCAGGATTAGGGAGCTCAATACTTTGTGGAATCAAAGCCTTAATGACTACACAAGATAGAAGATAGTGGAGCATCAGGTCCACTGAATGGGGCAAACACAAGTAAGCAGTTCTTTAAACAATATTACCTTTATCTCCTCTCTCTCCTGTCAATCCAGGTTGCCCTTGAGGTCCAGGAAAACCTCGATCACCAGGTTCTCCAGGCTGACATTCCAGGATTCCATCTAAAATTGGAGTGAAATAATAAAGAACATTATTCTGTGAGTTCAGATATCCACAACAGTATACTTCACATCAGTATCACTGCTCCATAGATTATTATGAGCAATGACAAAGTATCTACTGGATGACTGTGACCACAGTGAGGAGCAAGTTCACACATTTATCTGTCCAATTCAGTTATTATGGGAATTAAGGGATAAAATCAAGGGGGGGGGGAGGTCTATAAAATGTAATCAAGTTTTATAGTCATTACTCTAAAAACGTATGGAATTATGGACAAGTGGCAGTCTGTCCATATTAAGTTTGCAAATAACTTCCATTTAAAAGCTCTGGCTTAAAAAATTGACTACACTTAATTTAAAATAGAACATATTTTACGCTGGAGACCTAGCGGGTTATTTCTGGAAGATCTGAAAGAAGTTCACTAAACAGATTTTAGTTACAGTTACATTTAAAAATTATCCTGATTGGAAATCATAATTTTTGTCTTAGGTTTCTTTGAATCTTTCTTGATCAAAAGAAGCTTGTTAATAACCTTCCATATTTTTCAAGTCATTAAATCTCCCTGAAAACTCACATACTATATTTATTTGAAGAAAGCAGATGTTTAAGGGTCAGAAGTGGGATGACAAATGAAAAACTTCACCAGAACCTCAGGTCTGAACAAAAAAATAATGCTTCCTAGGTTGTGTTTTATTGCAGGGTTCTGAGTCGATATAATTTCACGTAATTTTGGCTGAAGTGTTTAGCAGAAATCTTTCTCTGTAGTTTTACAAACAACATGTGACATTACACCCCATATCTATCATCACCCCATCAGCAAAGTAGCTACAGCGGGATTATGTTATAATTATAATGCATTTTGTTCAAGATGGGTCATGCAAGGTGTCACTGGAAAAGTTATGACTTGCTGAATATGATTATCCCATTTATGCATGTATCATTTTATATCTAAAGTTATGACTATCGACTATGTATTTTAATTTCAAATGTAGTTACACCTGAGTGACACCCACTAGGCAAGATGATTCTAGTCTAGATAACTGGTCATGAAGGGCCTATTCAGGGCAACAGGCCATTAGGAAAAACAATAGGCCTTAGGAAAAATGTATCCTTCACCTGGTGATCCTTCCTGAGACCACTCTAGACAACCTGTAAGTAATGGCTGCTGTGATTTAGCAATGGATGCAAGGACATATGATCGGACTGCACGATACTAACCTCCATTTTGGGTATCTGTATTTTTTCACAAACTGGGCTGGCAATTGACTTTGGAACAAAGTGTTCCTAATATATGTTAATGCTATATAATGTAGGGTGTGACATCATCAAAGAGCCTCAGTCTCCACACAAGAAAAACTCCTGGAAGACAAAGACTGGATTGGGAAAGTGCTAATGCCGAATTAAAAGATTCCTAGCCTGTTTGTGGAAATCTGCTTGTTTCATCTGCCAGAGTGACAGATTGCTAAGTCATATCCAATCTATCTAGTATTTTAGGCTTAGTTTGTAGTTTTGTTTGTTTGCTAGGTCATCTGCTTTGATCTGTCTGCTATCACTTATAATCACTTAACATCTATCTTTTGTATTTAACAAACTTGTTTTTTGTTTTACTTTAAACCAATGTGCCTTTGACTGAAGTGCCTGGGGAAAGTCTCAAGCATATTGTGCATATTCCTCTCCACACTGAGGATGAGGCAAACTGGGTAATAAATTCACACTGGTTAGTGTTTCAACCATGGCAGGATGGTACAACACAGAATGTTTCAGGCTAGGAAACTGGGAGTTATTTTTGTTTTACCCTTGCTATTGTTGGTTCATGCTTCGACTGGCCACAGCTTACATACAACTGCAGCTGAGTATGTCCCTACGTATGTGAATGCTGGAGGGTG